TACCTTTGTTATTTTCGTCTCTACGACGATCGTATTCATACAAGCTGCCAAGTACTCTTTAAATGAAGCTCTTATTATACTTGATCAAGTTAAAAATACTCTGATCAAGATCAATCCTCGATTGAAGCTTCACTGTTACATCGAAAGGGGTTTGAGTTGTCATTACAGTACAATTTTCCGTGGATGGTGAGAGGTTTAGCCTTGCAAAATACAGACATCCAGCTATCAATCGTAATTAGTCGTCACAGAGTGAACCATGGCGGCGCGTCAAATTTCGAACGCTCGACGACGAGTATGACCATCGAACGTACGTACACTACGATATCGAATCCGCCCGCATTGAATTTCGTAGTGTCAAAATGTTATTCTCCTCACTTCACCATTATGTGAAGTTCCGCAAGCGATCAGTACTGCTCATCCCCATCACTCATGCCCTTGACTATCTCGAAACGCAACAAGGACAACGATACAGGAAAGACAGTAACGTTTGGTAACCTCCCGGAAGGATCATCAGTCAGGGAGCTCAGCTGAGATCCATTGCAGCGGAAGCAGTGAACTGCCTCAGCGATGGGAAAGGGTCATTTGATGCACCTATGAGATACTTTTTAATCATGAAGTCAAGTCCCTGTCGAGCTACCTCCAGCTGGGGCTGATCCGTAGAGCATCTTCCCATCCTCAGCGGCTGCGAGCTCGCGCCGAATCTCAATCGTTATCTGCGAAGAGAAATCAGCCCTGAACTGACGCACAGTGAAGAGTCGGTCTATGGGCTCAAATGGAAATACAATCTCAATTCTACGATGAGAATAATCATAGATGATACCTCCTTGTGCGGATGCGCCTTCATGACAGCCTTCAGCGTTCGAATCTCCGACTGTGACAGCTCGTGCTTGTACCTGATAATTGCACAGATGCCAGCGGGCAATGGGATATGTAGACCGACCTCTGCACAAAAGCTAGAAGCGACTGATGCCATAGAACAGGCATTTCCCTTTGATCTGGTATGAATCCCTTATAATGATCAACAACGGCACTGACAGCCCTCTTGGGCAGGGAGTACCTAATAAAGCAAGCAATAGTTGTACGAGAATCTCCAAGCACCCACTTCTTGTTAATGATGGTCCTTATAGCAATACTCGCAGTGGGACCAGGCCAGGAGAGGCTAGTGAGTTGACACAGTCTGACCAAGGCTGCCGCAGAGTGGAGAACCGGCAAGGAGCATTTTGCCAACACCTATATCAGTCAAATTATGCACTCCAACAACAGGTGAACACCCCTCTAAGCGATAGATGCAAGCGAACAGCAATCTGAGGAGCGCTCGAGTCGATCTCAGTATCCATACTACACTGCAAACTATGACTGCTTCCCTGATGGTGCAAGTAGGGCAGAGTATGAGCGGCAGGAAGATGCCCTTGAACCACGCCGCCGGCTTGAACGTGGCCGCCTAGGTTACACAAGACTAATGAGCAGTTGAGGAGGAGAGCTGCCCACCTTGAGGGCCTCATAGTAGTGGAAATTGAGTTTCTTATTTACCGCTATGTCCTCTCGAACAGCCGGTAGGAGTACCTAGCACGGAAATGCGATGCACAATGCAAGTGTGGTGACACCATACCAAATTAAGGTATCTCTGAGCTTGCTTTGGGCTGAGACTAGAGACGAATATCTTAGTGGCCTCTCGAGTAGCAGCAGGAGTCCATTCGACAGGATTCGTTATGAACAATACCTACATGCCCACGTCCCATTCAAGAGGATACCAAAGGACTACCTCCTCCCAGTTGATGAGGCTCGGGATGATCTTGAAAGCCTTGGGTATCTTACCAGACTTATACGTACTCAGCCATTTACCAATATCTGAGTACCTGACCAAGACAAGGCTCTAACATGGGGCACACCATGTGGTTCGTTCTTACACTCTCACAACCTGTGGGTTAATGGCCTCACTGGCATCCTCTTCATTTGACTGGACCTTCGACACTCCACCACCCGAGCCAGCCTCTCGTTCTCGCAGCTGGGCATACCAATCTCCCGCGAATAAGCACAGCATTGATAGATACTACCTTCTGTTCTATGATGTCAGCAAGCGTCAGTCTCTTGGGCTCCTCATTGGTCGTTCTGAACTGAGCCTGGGCGGCCTCATCTGCTTCTGTCACTTC